TTTTTTTTTTTTTTTACATTAGATTTCCTGAAGAAATATCATGATGAATTGTTACAGATACCTCCGGACATACCACAACCTGTATGACATTTATTTCAAGGCATTTATATTGTCCCTATAGAAATTTAAGAATACTTGAGAGGTAACACAAAAAGAGTGGTGTATACCAGCCAGCCATCATCAAGAACCTCCTCAGGTAATCCTTCTACATGGTAAGGTGCAGATAGCATTCTGGGTCCTGTCCATTATAGCACAACAATGATTCCATATCTTAGGCAAACATCACCAAAAACTAACAGGGAATACCAGTGGTAAATTGACAAACTCAATAGTTTTCCTTCCGTCAACTAAGCTTCAAATGCTAAACCCAGTCATCTTATTCTAGTAGTTTTCTATCTTCAAACGGTTGCTGTTCTTACCATTTGGGTCCCAAAATAGCCTAATCAAACAATTTGCTTGACATTTCATTCAAGCAAAAGAGGTTAATAAGCACCTTAGAAATCGAGAAGTAACTGAGGAAGAATCCTTTCTACATGAGTTGCTTCAATCTCAGTGCCACCCTCAGCTTCAGCAATTGTAGCAGCTCGCTGCACAGCCTCTGACTCAAGGAACAGAAGGGGATTCCATTACAGAGTGCCATTTTCTTTTCTCAAAGAAATAAAAAGAAAAAAACCTAATCTACGCATTCTCAAATAAACACTAAAATTCGAAAAGAACCTGTAATAAATATTCGAAGAAGTTCAGAACTCAGCTTTAGAGCGTCTGCATTAGCTGCAATCAAATAAAGTAGTAATGTAAAATTTATAAAATTCATCCAGGGAAAAAAAGGGGGAAGAGAAATTACTTGAAGTGGGTCGATACTTCTTGGATGTTCCAGCTCCAACCTATACTTACAAAAAATCAAATAAATAAATAAGAAGTTAAAATTTTAGCGAAGAATTTGAGAAATGTGAAAGAAAGAAACCTCGGAGTCCAGGGCGTCGGTGCTTTGGATTCCGTTCCTTTCACGCTCTGGAATGGAAATGCCAAAAAAACCTCTAAAATCCGAGTTTGAAGTGAGTAAAAATGGGAAGGGAAAAGAGGGAGATGGAATTGCAAACCATGAGCTTTTCTGGCCCAAATGTGCTTGAAAATGGCGCCAATCAAATCCTTCAAAAAGAAAAGCGTCACACAAATAGAAAAACAAAAACCAAATGAAAGGAAATAAAAACGATCGTGCAATGGATACATAAAAGGGGATTACAGGATCTAAACTGGGTGTGTTGTTGTCGTCCATGGTGGAAGTGACTCGGATTTCGAATTGCCTCTTCGCTTCCTCTCTATATTTGAATTGCTTTGATGAACTATTAATAATTTATCAAGCGGCTGTCAAAACAAGAGGCCCTATAGGCTATAGCTCAGTGGTAGGGCGTCACTTCGCGCAGGCATTTTTTTCCCAACTATTTTGCGCTTTTGGTTCCTCCAGATAAAACAACATTGTTTAAAAACAGTCTGGTCTCCTTATTAGTTTTTTGGGTAAAATTTAATCTATTGTTAGTATTTTTATCAGGGTAAAAGTAAAATAATAATTTTACTTTTAATTAATTTTTAAAAATATTATTATATAATTTTATTAATTTTGTAATAATTAAAAAAAAAAAAGTGTCCATATGGGGAGTATCGGAGCTCCCTTGGAGAGCCTTGATCTGGCTCCCTAAGGCTTCCCAAGAGGAGTCCGATCAGGGCTCCTTAAGGGAGCGCCAGTGCTTTCCTTCTTGAGGAGATCAGTGTTCCCTTTTATTTAGTTATTTTTAAAAATATAATAATAATTTTTAAGATTAATAAAAAAATATGTTTATTTTTTTAATTTTTATTATTGGTGTTTGTATTTTTGAAATGAAATGTTTATTTTAAAAATTAATATATTTGCTTAAAATTTTGATTAAAATTTAAAAGGTGAAGATATTTTATTTTAATTTTTTTTCTAAATATTTTACACTTTTTGTTTGTCTACATAAAACGACACTGTTTAAAAACAGTCTAGTCTCTTCACGAGTATTTAACCTTGGAAGTTGAAAACTTAAACCTTGCATGTTGGAGACATTGACTCAAGCACCTTCATGGTTCATCCTCAAAGTCTATAAATACTCTTATATGTATTCTTTTCTTCCTTGAAGAAAATACCAAAGCTTTCCACAATGCTTCAAATAAAAGAACATTTCTTCATTGAATTCCTTTCATAAAACGAAAAAGCTGTGAGAAACGTATACGAGTTTAGAGAAAGAGTAAGAATGATGGATTTAGAACTCTTTTTCTTGTTTTTTTTTTCAATTATTTTAATGATTTAAAATATATATTTACATTGCTAATGAAGTTTTTAGTAGGAATTTAGAACTTTCTTTCTTGGTTTTTTGTATTTCTTTAGTCATGAAGCTTTAAGGATGGATTTAGAATTCTTTTTCTTTTTTTTCTTGTATTTTCTTTCAATTTTTTTAATGGTTTAGAATATATATTTGCATTGCTAATGAAGCTTTTAGGATGGATTCAGAATTTTTCTTTCTTGTTTTCTTGTATTTCTTTAGTTATGAAGCTTTTAGGAAGATTTAGAACTCTTTTTCTTGTATTCTTGTATTTTCTTTCCATTTTTTTAATGATTTAGAATATATATTTATGTTGCTCATGAAGCTTTTAGGATAGATTTAGAACTTTCTTTCTTGTTTTCTTGTATTTATTTAATTATGAAGCTTTTAGGATGGATTTAGAACTCTTTTTCTTGTTTTCTTCTATTTTCTTTCAATTTTTTAATGATTTAGAATATGTATTTATATTGCTAATGAAGCTTTTAGGATGGATGTAGAACTTTCTTTCTTGTTTTCTTGTATTTCTTTAATTATAAAGTTTTTGGATGGATTTAAAACTCTTTTTTTTTGTTTTTTTTTGTTTTTTCTTTCAATTTTTTTATGATTTAGAATATATATTTGAGTTGCTAATGAAGCTTTTAGGATGGATTTAAAATTAACGAGAACTTACTTCTTAGGGGTGTGCTTAGTTGTCTAAATTTGTTTATTTGCTTGCCAATAAGAATGAAACCTATCTCATTCATGGAAATTCTTATCATAGTTGACATTGTAGTTAACTATGAGTTAAGATTCTAAATGTCATAGGATAACAATTTACCTGAAGTGGCTAAAGGGTGATAGATTTATTCTTTATTCAATAAGGAACATGGTTGAATGTAGATGAAGATGTGTATATCAGGCAAATCATTCTCAAAATGTTTGTTGTTTTTTAATATTTTTCTAAATATGATGATGCTGTCATTTTGATTTACATATTTTCTCTATTAGGGTGATTTTGTTTGAAAATAAACAACTTTTGATGAAATTAGAATAAATTTATTTCAAAGAAATCAACATGTATAGATTCAACTACAACGTTAGAATTTAAATCAAGTAATCTATGTGTTTTTGAATTTTGTGCATAAATAACAAATCTATTTTGATGCCTCTACATCTTAATTTTATCTTATGAGAATTCGTACGTTTATAATACGTTATATACCCATGCATTTTAAAATAATTCAAATTTAGTTTTTTATCATTATTCCATAATTCATATGATATCATAAGTAATTTCTTTAATAGAACTTTATTATTTATATGACAAGTTGTTAATAAAGTATCACCTCATAAACATAAAATCATGCTATAAATGTGCATTTAATAAATCATGCAATAAATGTGCATTCAATAAATCATGTCATAGATATGTATTCGGTAACATAGCATTTGACCTATCAACTTAAGCTCTTTTTTTTTTTTCTTTTAGCTAATTGATAATTCTATTTTATAGAATTATATTTATCTCAATTTTGCTTTTAAAAGTTAACTAAGTCCTTGAGTTTGATTTAGTTATTTTTAGTTAAATTTTCTAATTAGTTTATTTTATTAAGTTATTTTACTTTGTACTTATTTGCCTTATAGGATTGTAAAGGAATAAGATTCAATTTGGTGAAGAAAAGTGTTTAAAGAGTCAAGATTTTATTCGTATATGTCTCAATATTTCAATCATAAAGTCCAAATGACATGATTCTTGGACCATTGAAAAATTAAAAGTCAAGGTTACAATTTCCGTACTTACCATTTTACCTTGTTCTACCTTGAAAACAGAGAAAAACACAAAACAAGTTAACACCACAGTGTTAGAAAGCAATGCCCTGTAAATAAGCCAAATTGAGGTGAGGGGAAGCTAGAGGGAATCAATTTTAGGTTATTTTAGGAGGAGAATAACCACCAAAAACTCAAAAAAAGAAAAAAGATCAATCATGGAAGATCAAAGATTAAAGATCACCAATCTTTAGTTTTTTTTCTCTCTCTAGTTTTCTTGTTTCTTTTGTTTGAGATGGTTAAAGTTTATTATTTTATGTTCTTTATTTTCATTATGAGTAGTTAATTTCTTTTTTTTATGATTGTAATTGAACTCACATATAGTCTAAATTTTTTAATCTCTCTCTTGTTTATTTTCAATGGTATTGGATTGTTTATTCTTTTTTATTTTTAATACTTTTAATTGTCTGATCACCAATTAAATTAATTTAAAAACTTAAACATAACTGGAAAAAGGGAGTTTAGTGTAGATTAAAATTAAAATAACATATAACTATATTTATTTGCTTGGATGAATAAATTGATTTATGTATAAGATAAGGATATGTCTATATGTCATATGTAGCCAGTATTAGAGTCTGAATTTAATAAATTTGTTTTAATTTTAATTCATATAAGGATATAGTGTTTTGATTAAAGTAGATATTTTTATAAGAGTCTTGAGAGAGCATAATAAATAAATGAGGACTTTAGGTTAGCAATTCAACCTATTAAAACAAATTAAAAAAGATAGGTAAGATTTATATGCAGTGTTAGGGATATTGCAATCTTAGACTAGTTTAAATTTAATTTTTATTCAATTAAATCCTGGCTTTGATTTTTAATTATTTTTAATTATTTTGTTTCTTTTGTTAATTAATTTTTAATTTAATTAGTTATCAAATTTTTATTATTTGAATAAGATTAAATTGTTTTAATTTTAGTCTATAGTAAAATTTTAGATCAATTATCTATGGGTTCGACACTTTGCTTACCATTATATTATCTTTTTGATACGTATACTTATGTAGGTTGAGAATTTTAACAACACTAATCCATTAAGTTAGGGTTGCATAAGGAGCTGTTATTTAATAAAGTATTCTTTTCTCTTTACAAATTAGAGAAAATGAGTTGGAAAAATATTCTTCTCCTTTATCATTTTGAAAAATTTAAATTATTTTTATTTTCAACAATAGTTTTATATTTTTTAAATTTGACAAATACTTTATCTTTTGTTTTTATTAAATAAATATGTGTGAAGCAAGAATAATTATCAATGAATGTTATAATACAACTTCTAATAATTCTGATTTCCTTTCAATTTTTAAAAAGGTTTCTTAGTCATTTCAAAACTATTTTTTCGATATAAAATATAACCATACTTTGACATAAAATTTAATGATTGAAAATTTAAATAACTTATTCTAACATGCCATAAATTAGAAGAGTACTCAACAATATAAGCAAAAGAATTATTTATTTCATTGAGATTGAGTTTGAATATTCCGTCACAAGAATATCTTTTTCAACAAATGCAACATTTTTTGATATTATAACTTTATCATATTCTAATACAATCTTGAAAGTATTATTACACAATAGATGTGTAGATACAAGATTTTTTTTAATTTCAGGAATATGGAATATGTTAAGTAAAGTTAATTTCCACCTTAAGATAAATTTTAACTAAACTGTTCCTTTGTTAAGTACCTTAGTAGGATTATGGTTCCTCATTAGAATTTCTTTTAGTCTCTTGAGTTCTTCATAACTCTTGAACTACCTTTTGTCATTGCAAACATGAATAGTAGCATTGGAATTTAGCCACCATTTTGAACATTGTTTACCTTGTTTCCAGAACCAGAAGCAGCAATCTTATTTTCAAGATTTTTAGAATTTTTAAACTTGCACTCCTTAATAAAATGCCATTTCTTTCCACAATGATAATATATTTTATCACTCTTAAATTTCTTGGATTTCTTGAAATCATTTTTTTGAACTTCGTTTCTCTTCATTTTTCCTTTTCACTGACAAAGTTTACATTTGATCTAAGAATGAGTGCATCTTTAGCACTATTTTCTACCTTAATATGCAAATGAGTTTGAAACTTTTCAATAGTAAAACTTCATAAAGAATGCAATATTTTCTTCCTATATTTATTCAAAAAATGTAGAAGGTTGGATAGAATTGCACCCAATTGAAGTGAGTCAGGAATTTTGATTTTTAGTTCATTTCATTTAGAGGCCAGAATTTGTAACTTATGTACTTGATCTATAATTAGTTGGGTATTTGTCATGGTAAATAAACTCAAAGTATCTCAATGCAAGAAATTTATTCATACCTTTTTTCTCTTTTTTGTACGTTTCCTCAAGGGCAGTTTAAATTTCTTTTCTTGAAGTCTTATTTTTAAAGAGATTATATAATCGATCAGTGAAATTGAGATTGCATCCACAACATATAAACTCGTCTCATTTCCATTTTTCTCCATGTTAACATCAGTCGTGGTTGCGACAATTGTGGATGTAGCAATGGTTCCAGATGGTGTTAATTGTGTTCCTTCTACTAATGTGATCTCTTTTAGAATTGATGGTTGATCCGTCTAAAGAATATAATAAATCTTCAATATGATTAATAGGAATACCATTTTGTCCCTCCATTTAGTGAAGTTCATTCCGTCAAATCTATCGAGTTTGATCACTTTTTTATCTTGGAAGTGAACTTTCACATTTGGAGATTTAAGAAATACCTTAAGACTTTCCTTAAGGTATTTTTTCACTCTTCTTGATTTTAAATCTAACCTAGTCTCCATAATGAAACAATGTCGAAAAGGTTTAAGAAATACCTTAAGATTGTTAGAAATTTTTTAGAAGAAGAAAAAGAATATGACTTTAAGGGCGTGAACGAAAACACTTTCCTTAACTCATTTTTTCAACCTCTAAGATATAATAAAGTCTTTGACACATTTATCAGAATAGTGAAAATGGTAGCATAATGACGTTGTCTATATAATAAATGAACATATATATCTTTCGATGTAAAAAGTTGTTTCCTTTCATATTATAATTATTCAAACAATTGTTTCCTTTTTTCTCTTTTTTTTTGGTACATTTCCTCAAGTGCATTTTAAATTTTTTTTGTTGAAGTTTTATTTCTGAAGAAATCATACAATCGATCAGTGAGAGAATTGAGAATGCATCCACGGCATATAAACTCGTCTTGTTTCTATTTTTCCACATTAACATCAATCGTGGTTGCAATAGTTGTGGAGGCAGCAATGCTTCCAGACAGTGTTATTTGTGTTTCTTCAATTGATGTAATCTCTTTTGGAATTGATGGTTGATCCATCTGAAGAACATAATAAAGCTTCAATGTGGTTAATAGAAATACCATTTTGTCCCTCCATCTAGTGAAGTTTATTCCATCAAATATATTGAGTTTGATCACTTCTTGATTTTGGAGGTGAAGCTTCGCATTTGAAGGTTTAAGCAATACCCTAAGACTTTTTTTAAGATATTTTTTCACTCTTCTTGATTTTGAATCTAGCCCAGTCTCCATCACAAAACAATTTCGAAAAGGTTTAAAAAGTACCTTAAGATTGTTAAAAATTTTTTAGAAGAAAAAGAATATGATTTTAATGACGTGAATAAAACCCTTTCCTTAAGATTTTTTTTAATCTCCAAAATACACTTATCAAAATAATGAAAATAGTAGCATAATGATGTTGTTTATATAATAACGAACATATATGTCTTTCGATGTAAAGAATTGTTTCCTTTCATATTATAATTATTCAAATTATGATAACGATCGGAAAAGTTGTCCTGACACTAGAAAATTTATCACTGGTTATTGTGTGTTTATTAAATAGTCACTAATGAGTTGGAAATCCAAGAAACAACAAGTGGTAGCACGAAGGTCAACATAAGCCAAGTACAGATTAATGCCAACTACATGTTGTGAAGTTATCTAAATGAAAAGCTTGCTGGTTGACTTTGGGATTGAACACAAAGCTGTAGTGAAGCTCTATTGTGATAATCAATCATCAATCTACATCAGAAAAAATCTAATGTTCCACGAAAGAACAAAGCACATAGAGATTGATTGTCATTTCATTTGAAAGAAAATTCTGAAAGGTATGGTTAAAGCCTGTTTACATACCAACAACAGATTCACAAGTTGTTGATGCATTCACAAAGGCTTTACAACCTGGATAGTTTTAGAGATTATTGAGCAAAATGAACATTCACAATGTTCATAATTTCTCTTGAGAGAGAGTATTGATCAAGAACATCTCAGATCATAAAGAACAAAACTTCAAGTACTAGAAAAATAAGTAGAGCAAGTCCTCAGCATACAAAGATTGAATTTGCTTGTGAATAACAAGGAAATAAACGCTGAAAACGCACCGTGTCTATGCCAGATAAACGGCAAATAGTTAGGCTATTTTGTCCTTTTCCCATTCCTAGACTCTGTATATAAAAGCCTTTTGTAATATTCTGATCCAACGAATGAATCAAATATTCCCAAATATTCTCTACACTATCTTTCTCTTCTCATCACTTTCAACTTTCCACTTAAAAGATGTTAATGTTAATGAACAGGTTCTTGTGCACATGCTGTCTGATTTTCCAATTCTTGAACAATTGTGAGTGCATGGCTCCCTGCATCTGGCTAACTTAAAATTTTCTGGCCCATCTTTCAAATAGAGCATTTTATTACATTTTGTCCGTAACAAAAATTCGAAGAAGTTCACAACTGAGCTTCAAAGCATCTGCATTGGCTACAATCAGATAGAGTAGTAATGTAAAATTTATAAAATTCGAAAAAAAATATGGGAAGAGAAATTTCTTGAAGTGGGTCGATTCTTCTTGGATGTTCCAGCTCCAACCTATACTTACAAAATAATAAATAAGAACTTAAATTTTCAGCTAAAAATTTGAGAAACGTGAAAGAAAAAAGAACTTTGGAGTTTTGGATTCCGTCCCTTTCACGCTCTGGAAAGGAAATACCGAAAAAACCTCTAAAATGTAAGTTCTTGAAGTGAGAGTAAGAATGGGAAGGGAAAAAGAGGGAGATGGAATTGCAAGCCCAAATGTGCTTGAAAATGGCGCCAATCAAATCATTCAAAAAAAGAGTCAAACAAATTGATTTAAATAGAAATACAAAATCCAAATGAAAGCAAATAAAAAGGATTGAGCAATAGATATATGAAAGGGGATTTCAGGATCGAAGGTGGGAGTCTTGTTGTTGTCCATGGCGTACGTGATTCGGATTTCGATTTGCCTCTTCGCTGCTTGACTATAGTTGAATTTCTTTAATGGAGAATTAATAATTTATCAAATTAGTACAAAAGGCCCCTATAGCTCAGTGGTAGAGCGTCAGTCTTGTAAACTGAAGGTCCGTAGTTCGATCCTGCGTGGGGGCATTTTTCTCCCAAATATTTTGCATTTTGCTTCGTTTAAGATAAAACGACACTGTTTTCAAAACAGTTTAGTCTCCTTGCACCGGTGTTAAACCTTGGAAGTTGGAAACCTCAACTCAAGCGCCTTCATAGTTCAGCCTTAAACCCTTGATGAGTACTTCCAACCAGACATCAAGAAATCAAAAACTAGAGTCAAAATCCCAACTTCCGTAAGTTTTTGAGTCCACTCTTAGTTCCTTTTCCATTCTTCTATGCCAAAAAATGGCAAATCTAATGCACAAACTCTTCAAGAACAAATCTAGTCAAAGAATCGTCGTATCTCTCCAGAACCCACAACAACAACTCCCCAAACTTAGTCCTTCACTTATTCCTGAACAAACCCACCATTATTCATTAGCCAAACCAGAATTTTTAAACTACTCAAATCTTTTCCTCAATACCAAATCCTCGGAAAATTGCAAATCTGCTGAACCCTTGAAGTTTTACCCCAATTTCCCATTTGGGTATATATTGAATCCCATTAACTCAGTTCGGTTTGATCCATTGGAGGCAGTAGTGGTTGAGGAGGGGGCAGCAGAGACTGAGGATGATGATGCTGGAAAAGTTTGGGCAGATAGTGTGAAGAAGAAGAGGAAGAAGAAGATGAACAAGCACAAGTACAAGAAGCTTAGGAAGCGTCTTAGGAGAAAGACTTAGACTTTCCTTTGGCGAGCATTCATGGGGAGTTGTTTTATTTCCTCTGTTTTTTATATGCAAAGATTTTGGAATTCGATCATATGTGATTGAAATTTTGGATTTTTTTTAATTGTTGACAAAGCCCGATTTCAGAACTGGAATGGAATGTTGAGAATTTTTTTATCTATTGACAATAAGATTAATAACTTATGTTTAAATGGATCAACTCGCAAAATTAAGAAGAAATTGTTTATTTTCTTCTTAGGGATGTCTAAATTTGATTTTTTGCTTAGCAATAAGAATGAAACCTGACTCACTTATTATGGAAGTTCTTATCATAGTTGACTATGAACTAAGATACTAAATATCATAGAATAACAATTTACATAGATTTATTAAGGAATAGGGCCTGAATATAGATGAAGATGTGTATATCAGGCAAATCATTTTCAAAATATTTGTTGTTTTCTGATATTTTTCTAAGTATGATGATGTTGAGTTGATGTCCTTTCTTTATACAGATCTCATCCATTTTGATTGCCTATTTTCTTTGTGAGAGTGATATTCTGTTGTCAAATAAACCATTCTAAGATAAGGATCTTTAAAGGTTCAGTGGGAGAGCAGAACCTTACTACCAACGTCAATTGATTAAATTTTGTTTGCATTTTCCAGTTCAACAAGGATCAATGCCTATTGAATCTGTATGTAGGATGAAGATGGTTTTGGTTGAATGTGTTAATAAATTGGTAGAGAACACAGGTAGTGGTTTTAGGTAATTTAGAATATTAGTTCACCTATAATTCATTAGAATGGCTGGTTTCTGAATAGATACAAATGGCATACTTGAAGTTTAGCTGACTGAACCTGTTGGTTAATGTAGTCTTATTTCTTTTTTACTAGTGAAGGTTTCATGTGTTGTTGTCTTCACAATGGAGGCTAAGCTAATTAAGATAGAAGCACCTCTGCAAAATTAGTCCTTTTGACCCCTTAACTGATTAAAAAAGATCAGGTCTTTTTTGTTCTTCTATGCCCAGGTTAATTTTATACTTCACTATATGGTGTTCTTCATGATTATATGACTCTCTAAGCTATCTAATGTCTATGAGTACAAACACAGAAAATTGGTGTTTTTCCCAAAACAGATTGAGATTGGATTTTGGAATTTGGAATTTGGAGGCTCTTTTTGCTTTTGGTAATCTATAACTTGTATAACAGCTAGTTTATATTCGCCTCTTATTTTGAGTAGAAAGCAAAGACAACATGAAAGTCCCTGAGCAGTGGTTTATGCCTTTTAACGTCTCATTGATGCATGCTTTAAGAAAAGTATAATTTACTCATGGACATTTAAGAGAGTAAGATTGAACCTGTTTGGTATTTAAGGGAAGCATTTGCTTCAGATTGGTTGGTGATCTGGTTTGAGTGTGTATATCTATGTTTACGTCATAGCATAATATATTTGTACATTTGTATCTATGAGTTATATGAGCTTGGGACACTTGTAATCTGGTGATGCTCAGCAATGATCTCATGATGATACCAAAACTTCCCCATTTCTTTATTTTTTTCGCCCTATCCTGTCATCATTTGTTCCACTCTTTTCTATGTGGTTTTGTTGGAAAAAAGAAAACTAGAATAACTGTGTGGATGTGTTTACCAGTTTGAACACTGGATCAATTTCTGGGAGTGTCTGCTGCTTAATTTAGTAGTTTGAAGAAATTTCATTTCTGCTGCATGTCTTATGGAGCAATACATATTTGTGAGATATTGCTGCAGATATACTCTTTAAGATGTGGGAAGATTTCCAAGCATTCCTTGCTATGAATCTTGGTTTGTCTTATGATCTCTAGTAACCAAATTAAGGTCAGTTTGTTGAGAGTCATTACTTACTGATAAAAAGGCCCATCTAGTTGCTGTGACTACCGAATCCAAGCAAACTTTTCTTATGCATGAAATCCATGAGAATTTGCTTTGAGAACCAATTGCTAGAAACCCCTTAAGTTTAACTTTTATGTAACACTACACACGATGAGACCAGCGGTGGCTACAATGAGGAAGAAGTTGGAAATCTACATAAGCAAGTATTAGAAGGTTTTGAATTTCAGATTTTAAAGTGTCATATATCAGGTATGAATGAGGTTACTACTTTATGAAAAAGTTGAGAATTGTAAGACTTGCACAATCCTACTAAAAACTGAGTAACTTGTTTGTTTTGTTCTCCTATTTGGCTATCTGTTAAAGAATTTACTTGTAGTGCAGCAGGCATGTGTAGTTTTTGGGCTTATCACTGGTGTACAAGTCATAGGTCGTTATGACAAACTAACAATTATGCAAATAACTTTCGAGTCTCAAGGAGGATCACTTAACCTGGGTATTCATCTCATATATGTGTTCAGGGTGGTTTGCAAGGGGGAAATGGTTTGTGAGCTGACGTGTGTCTCATTAGGTCCATCGCCATCAAAATGTCAACAGGACATATGGAAAGTGTTACATCTAAACCATATTTCATGGTCCTAATTATCTGTTGCCGTGAATGCCTAGTTCTGATGGAATTAGCTAAATGTAGCTTGATCTAGATTTCGGACATATGAGATGATCAGTTAATGCACACAATTATTTGAGATAAGGGTAATCTATTCTTTTTCGCGGATCTGAACAGGGCTCCACATTGTTGATTTGGTTGCAATATGTCTAGGAAACAGATTTACAGCTACCAGCCACATGTTGTCCGCTAATATAATTTGTTATATTTATTTCTTCATTCATTTTCAGTTTATTGTATTAATTAGATTTTATTTGAGCTTCTTTAAGCATTCTCTTACGGACGAGAGGAATTTGTTTTTTCCAATAAGTGGTAATTATTGAAATTCCCCTAAACATTGTGATGTCGTTGATGCTTTGGTAAAGAGGAAAGGATTTTCACTCAACTAAAGCCTCTTCCTGGCGCTATAGAAAGTATTGACCCATAATATTGGTGATGCAGCCTTGCAGTTGGGCCTAGAAAGAGGAACCCAGTTGGGTGATGGCTGGTAGTTTAGGCCCTTAAAACTCTGCAGAAATGACAGGAATCTATATTTCCATAAGCACTGCCTGCCACCAGTCTAGCATTGTCGTTTTTGCATCAAGGAAATGGATAAAGATCTGAACAGAAGTTTAAATTATAAGGGTCACAGAGGTTGTCGTGAGTAGGGCTATGATAATGATCAAGCACTTGCGGAATCTTTAGTCAATCCAGGAGGAATGCAAAGGTCAACATTTCAATCTAACATATCCGATCAAAACATGAAAATTTTAATTTAACAAATTAATCATTGAGAACTGCGTCAATGCAACTTTCGCACTTTGTGAATTACAACAGGGATTGGCTGTTGGTTGCTTTAGTTCTCGAAGTTGCCCCATGGTTTTGGCGCCACATTGGCACATGGTGTTTGCAATCTTTAATCCAAATTTATCTTATTATATATAGGTGCGGTTGATGAATTATTTGATGAAATTGATAAGTAACACGAGCATACATAAACATTTAATTTATTAATTGATATATAATTTTTTATTTAAAAAATAAGATTCAATTTTTTTTCTTAATTATAAAAAAAAAAACACGAACACATGATAAAGGTAGTTCGGCGTTTGACATAAATTGACACCCACTTTCTGCGGTTTAAGGGAGGGTAAGTTTGAAATAGACAGGCACTTTCTACGGTTTTCATTAGCAACATGAAAGTCGGTTGCCCAGTTTGAATGCAGCGCTTGTGATAATAATGTGCATTAATTTATTATTAAATTTACATATATGTCTTTCCATAGGTTTAAGGGCTGTCGCACTTCCGTTAAAAGCCCTTTTACATATGTGCATGTGCCATGTATGTATATTGTTCTCACTGTTCCTCACCCTCAGGTCAGGGTATCATCAAATAATATCAAGTTTTTAAGATATGTCATCACTTACGCAAGAAAAAGGCTTCTCGCAACTGGAAAGTGTCGACATAAAACTGTGTTCGGTGGGACAAAATCTCTTTCAACTCTCTTTAAGGTATGCAATTCAATTAAATTCTGACTAATGGTATCCCACATGCATTGCTCCCACTTATCTGGAATGCAAATTCTAGAAAAGCTGCCAGCCGGGAAAGCTAACTTGTCAGCCTTTTTTTGTTCAGAAAAAAACGCATGTGCTTGATCCAAGGTTTTGGAGGTAGATCTGAAGCTCCTATCTTTTGGTTTTTAGCTGCAACCATGGCCCTGTTGGTTTGTAGGAGGCTGGAAGCAATTATAGACATGACTAGAGCCTGCATACATTGCTTTCATTGTAAGAATATTAAGGTGACTTATGTCATGATCTCCTCGTACCAAGACAGGTTGAAAAGCAATGGAGAGACAAATTAAAGATTGTTGAAAGAAACATGCATGTCACCTTGAGAAAGCTTGATCAGAGCCTACCCCTGACGTTTCTCAGTAGTGGGTTGAACAAAAACATGCAAGCAATCAAGCATATCACTCTGTCCAACACATATCATTTTTTGTTTTCAAGTGCAGCTTCTTGACCCAGAGAAGGCCAGGTCGGTCTCTCTCACTTTTGTAACCATGTACATACTCTTGACAACAATTCGAAACGCTTACCTTTCAAAAAAAATGTATGCCTGCCAAAGTGGAGAATGTTTGGCTGTTGGAGGTTTCAAGCTACACTTTAGCTCCATTAACAAATCATTAATAATTAATTAAGTCACAACAACAAAAAAGTTATGAACTCAGCTCGCTTTTGGACAACTGGACATAATGATTTCAACACCATTAAAATTATTTGCAATAAACATAGTGCAGGTGTTGGGTGAACTTTTGAAAATAATCGTGAAAAAAAAAGAAAAAGTTGCACCCTAATCACATGATTAGAGCTCTTCAATTAAGACTTCTGGCTAGTTAGCTTGACTTAATCATGGCTAATTTGAAATTTAAATACAAGAAAGCACAAGATTTGAATTAATCATATTACCTTGTGTGTATACATATATAT